TGTTTAAATGTTCTTTTCTTGTTCATATATATCACTGCCGCTGTAAACTCCACTCCAACTCATCTGATGAAGTGGGTCTTACCCACGAAAGCTTTTGCCCTAATACATCTCAGAGGGGGTAGTTGTGTTTTCCCTAATACATCTGTTAGTCTCTAGGTTTGGCTCCACACATCATGACGGACCGCACCTGCCCACGGTTTCTGCTGCTTGCTTTGTGGCTGGCAATCCAGCAGCTAGCTTCTTTTCTACACTCCAGGCTGACAGCTGGGGTGTATTTGCAATCTGTATTGGAACTGTCAGCTGTCCCTTTCATTTGTAGAGGGTTTTTAGGCCTGCTTGCAGGATAAACAGCTCTATAGGGAAGTGCGCCATCAGCGTCAGATTGCAAAGAACCAGCTGATAGCAAAATAGAGGGAGTCCTGACTCTCTCTCTCGCTCTCGCTCTTTTTTTTAAATGGAGCAGCCTGCTTAGTCTCTCTCTGTTTTGGGGTTTCTATATTATCGCTCTGAGTTCTAAGAAATAAAGTCATGTGACAGTATGTACAGTAATTCCTCATTTAACACTCTAGACGTGTTTCAGAAAATGATCGTGCTAAGTGAAAACGTTTTTTGCGGGGTCAATTTTCCCATTGAAAATAAAGGAAAAGGCAGGGGTTGCGTTTCAAGCGGTGGTGTCTGTTGGGACCGGGACGTAAGGTTGGGAGAGAAAGGGGACTGGGTTACAGCAGGGAGGGGAGGTGTTTGGCTCTGGGGAAGGGAAGGAGAGAGGACGGGGATTGGGTTGGGAGTATGCCCCTGTGACGGGTCTGCCAGGACCTGCACTGCATCTGGCGGGGGGGGGGGGGTCTGGGGGACGGCACGGCGAGCGGGGAACCCTCTGCCGCTTTGCAGGAAGGCAGGGGAAGCCCCACGCAGCTGCCGGTGACGGGCTGGCTGGGGAAATTGTGTTATTCAGGGACAGTCGTGTAATTCAAAAAAAGCGTTCCCTAAAAAAAAAAAATTGTGCTATCGCGAAAACGTGTTAAGTGGGCACGTGTTAAATGAAGAATTATTGTACATTTTTAATTTACTTTTCTGCACACATGCCACAAACATAGTAGCACTTGCCACATTTTTTCCCCGGTGCATGTTCACAAGGGCTGGAAAGGCCAATTGTTCTGCTCTCTGGGGCATGGCAGGCAGTGGACAAGTGACTCCCAAACCCTCTTTTGTATGCAAGGTACAAGAGAGATTGTGTCCTGAAGTCCAAGGTCCCTCCATCTGCTCTCAGTTCTGCTCTTCCTTTCATCTCGGTTTGCAACAGTGTTTGCCCGTCGATCGGGATCTTTCCTTTCTGCCATGTTTACAAATACTTGGATTTGGGTCTTTTCCACAATTTCTTCTCACTATCACCTCACTGAAATGCAGCTGAGGCAAATGCCCAACAGCAGCACAAAAAAAACCCTGCACTGGCTTGCCTGAAAGTGGTAGCATCCCAGCACACCGTACTGACACCGTGTGCACATGTACTGAATTACCGGGCTCACAGCAGAACATATCAGGGCCTTGCGACACGTCAGTCTTGTCAGGCGGGGAGCCGCTCGGTTGAACAACAAGATATTTTTCAGCATAATTCTGGCTTGCAGTTTCGTGACGTTTGCCAGAATCAAAACATCTGCATCCTGTGGTTTCAAACTCCACAGGAACGTCATTAATTCATAGGGGTCCAATTCCGGGACGGTGCACCCCACTGTGAGAACTCTCTGTACTCCTTGGGGTCCTGCTGGAAGGGAACCCGGACAATGTGACTACACGCTCGCTTTTATGTACACGCTGGTAATTTCCAAGTGCGCCCTCCCCGGCGATCTGGAAGTAGGTCGATTTACACCAGCTGAGGTTTTGGCGCTGGGCTCCTGGAAACTCGTTTACCCATGGTGAATTCCTGGGCCTGACTTCTGGTTCTCCGAGGGCCAGACTTCATTTATAATTAATGGAAAAGTCACTCTCAAAGGGCCCCCGTGTCAGTGTTCCTGGAAGATTAACCAAATCGAGCTAGTCTTTAAACTGGGCTGTATATCTCATCTCCAGCGTGTCTCACGAGCTGTAGAAATTTGGGCAATGCCAGGCTGGCTCAGAACAGTGGCCTATCTAATCCTTTCCCCAACATTACTCATCCTAGAGACCAAGCAGGCTGGTGCATAAAAAAGAGGGACATTACTCCCCTCCTTTGCTGCAGTAGGCTGGCGCACTTTCCTGTAGAGCCTTTAGCCTGCAAGCATGCCTAGAAAACCCTTACAAACGAAAGCGACAGCTGACCGTCCCAACGCAGATCTCAAACACACCCCAGCTGTCAGCACAGAAGCCAGCCGCTGGATTGCCAGCCACAAGGCGAGCGGCAGAAACCGTGGAGGGGTACTGTCCGCCATGAGGCGGGGCGCCAAACCTGGCTGGTGCCCTGCGTGGTGCAGAGAGCAAAGCTTTGGGAGAATGCCAAGCACCCTGCAGTAGAAAGGAAGGGTGCAAAGTGGCGCCACGTTCGTGTCACTGCCTATGTGCTCGGGTAACCACCCGGAGCTGCTGCAGGCATGCTGGTGGGGGTAGCTGTCCCATCCATCCTCTGCTGCTCCAGCCACCCCCAGGACTGCTCCTCAAGCGGTCGCTGGTGTCAGCCACGCTGGCAGCTGCTTGGGCAGTGCCCAGCACCAGCAGCAAGGATGGTGCTGCTCACGCAGGGCCAGTCCAGCAGCGGGCACTGGGGCCATCTGAAAGAAATCACCGAGTCAGAGAAAGTCACAGAATGCATGACCAACATGGAGTCTTTGTCATTATCGGAAGCCCTCCTGTAGGTCTTTCTAGTAGCTGGATGGAACTTAGCATGGGCATGGCCACGTTTCCTGTGGTCCCATAATATTTATTTGCAGCCACCCAGGGGCAGATGACGATTTTGCAGGGCCCAGGGCAGCACAATGTCGCAGGGGCCCCCCTTTGACACGGCGCATGCGCGGGGCTTCTTGAAGCGCGGGGCCCGGGGCAGCTGCCCCACTCGCCCTGCCCTATATATCCGCCCCTGCATCCCCCAGTCCTGGCTCTTGGCGTTCTGTGCTGTTATTTAGCTCTAATTTACCCCTAAATGTCTTCTCAGTAAGCAATGGCAGTGTTGGTAAGGCTACTAGGCAATACTGACCTCCCGTGGTCTGGCAAATTCTCTCGTTCGGAACGCATCAGGTCCCGAGGGTGCCAGTCTGGAGAGGTTCAACCTGTATGAAGACATGACTTCTGGGTTCATTGGTGACCCTGCCACCTTCCATATGCCGCCGGTTAACGTTCCAGGCACCTCTCCTGTCACTTGATGGGGTGGAAGCATCACCGAGAGCAAGGGAAACAGCAGCCTGATTTCAGCCCTTGAGGAACTGGTTCTGAACAGGGACTGGTTTGGTTTTTTTCTTGCTGTCTTGATAGCGCTGCTAACGTGCTCTCGCTTTGGCAGGTCTCTCTGCACATGGTGCGTGCGTTGGGTGTGAAGAGGCCGGGTATGTTTTGATGAAAAAGGTCTCCTGCTTACAATAAGCGTGGGCATGATCCAAGCATGCGATCAACATCTGGTAGCAGGGGAAAAAGAAACCACTCCCTCTGTCCCCTTTCAAAGCTCTGGGAAGAGTCTAACATCTGAGTGAGCTGCTCCATTTGGGGAACAAACAAAGAGCATCATTGGAATGCTCCTGTTCTGCCCAGCTAGGAATACAGTGGCAGGGAGGGGGGCTGGAGAGACGGCCGTGCTGCTTTGCCGTTCCTCAGCACGGAGAGCTCCCAGAGCAACTCATGCTGAGGAGACTGTGGGAGAACTCGGAGGGGATCCCAAGAAGCATGGGGATCAGCTCTGCCGTCCCACAGCACGGTACTGTGAGATGCTTACCCACAGTGCTTTGCTCTATCTGTCCCCAGGTTGCTAGCAATCTGGCCATGAAATGTTGACGATGGGAGGCAGAACAGCCAGTCTGACCTGTTTTCACTTTTGCCGACTTTTGCATGTTGACTGCACTTTCGTTGCTAAACTTTCCCAGTGCAGACCCAGCCTTAGGCACCTAAATAGAAATGGCCAGATTTTCAGACGTGCTGAGCAATGCCGTCACCTGCTAGCTTTACTTTTCTATAGTGCTCATTAGTGAACACCCCACCCTGACCAGACCTGTTATCGGAAAGGAAGGACCGGCGCCTGGTTATGACGCTGGAGACGTGGGTCAATTTCCAGTTTACATATTTGTCTCCCCATGCCTCAGTTTCCCAGCCGTGAGGTTAGTAATCCTTCTCTGCCATCCTGGGGAGATGTGAATGAATTCACTATCCATAAGAGTTGCTCTGTTTCTGCGGTGAGGAAGGCTGCAGAAGAGCCTACGGATCCATCGCCGACTGCCTCCATTACCGTTCTTCCCTGGGCTTGTGTTTTTCTCCTGAGAAATCTGATGGAGGAGGGGGACTGGGCTAGGCGACGCAGACATATTCAGACCGTCTCTTAGCAATAAATGGATCTCACTCTGTTCTATTATCTGTCTGGCTCAGACTTCTATTATCTGTGGTGAATTGTAGCATTGCTCTCCGGACACATTCCACACCATCCTCCCTAACTTCTCTGCCTTCCGCCAAGCATACAATAACAAAGCTTGCTGGATAATACTTGCCAGTAGACAAGGAGCATAAAAGATTCACATGATGACTAACGTGCTAGCTCTGCCTGGTACATCACACTCATTAACACCGGCTGGTTACTAAAGAAGAGTCTAGGATCAGGACCAAAGGCTGATATTTCACATCATTCTGCTTGATGCAGGGAGATGCCCTTCCCTGGCTGCCCTTCCTGCTAGCAAGCAAGATGGTCTGGATTGCTGCAGGGGCCCTGCGCGGGATGGTCCTGCCTGGAGGAAACAGAGGCTCTGGATCCTCTGAAAAACACCCGCTCTTCAGCCTGCAGCTGACGCAGAGAGGACACCGTCTCACACCTGGAACCGAGGACCGGTAGAGTGTATCATTCCACTGCAAACTGGAGACAATGGCGAGACTGCATCAAGCTGGGCAGCTGCTGAAGAGGGACTCCCCTAACTTGGGGATTTTCTATCCAGAGCTGCCTCGATTGGTGCAGATATTCCAATCCGGCAGAGACGTGCCATCTGGGATCAGAGTCTAGCCCTCGCTGACAGCACCGGGATCGGAGGGTTGCTGCAGCTCATCTCCATTATCAGGAAAACACAAAGGCTTGTATTGATCAAGTCCATTCCCCTCCAATATGACCACTCATCAGAGGACCTCAAAGCACTTTGCAAACATGGCTGATGAACTAACCCTTACAACAGCTCTGAGAGGCAGGAGAAACATCACTGTGATGATGTCGGTTTTATGTACCAGTCTGGCAGCAGGAACAGAACCCAGGAGTCCAAGCCTGCAGCTCCCTGCTCTGACCACTAGACGGAAGTGCCTTCCCTTGACACCAGCGGAAGTAATGTTTCCAACATCTGTGCATGCTGGACCTAGCTTTTGTAGAGCCCTACAAGAATCAGCAGATACAAGGTGCAGCAACTCTTGCTCCTCATCCTTAGCTAGCTTCCATCATCTTAAATGTCCCATTTGCCATATGAAGAGCGATGAAAAAGACTGGGACTTTTCAGCTTAGAAAAGAGGAGACTAAGGGGGGATAGGATAGAGGTCTATAAAATCATGACTGGTATGGAGAAAGTGAATAAGGAAAAGTTATTTATTTGTTCCCATAACATAAGAATGAGGGGGTCACTAAATGAAATTAATAGGTAGCAGATTTAAAACAAAAGGAAGTACTTCTTCATGAAACGCACAGCCAACCTGTGGAACTCCTTGCCAGAGGATGTTGTGAAGGCCAGGACTTTAACAGGGTTCAGAAAAGAGCTAGATACATTCATGGAGGTTTGGTTCATCAATGGCCATTAGCCAAGATGAGCAGGGATGGTGTCCCTGGCCTCTGTTTGTCAGAAGCTGGGAATAGGTGACCGGGGAGCGATCACTGGATGATTCCCTGTTCTGTTCACTCCCTCTGGGGCACCTGGTATTGGCCACTGTCAGCAGACGGGACCCTGAGCTGGATGGACCTTTGGTCTGACCCAGCCTGGCCACTCTTATGTTCTTATCTCTGCATAGCACCCACAGGTCCTGGCCACTCAGAGCATGCTATCAGCTTGGAGCTGCGTGCCCCTCACACCTCGACTGAAGAGCCACAGCCTCTGCTGACCGCCTGACACAAAGCAAGGGTTGGGGCTGACGAGTAACAGAGCAAGCAGAGAGCAGGCAGGGCACTCAGCCAGATGCTAGTCACATAAGAACTGCAGACAGAAAAAACTATTTTCACATGGGCAGGCCCGCCCCATAGCCAACAAATTATTCCAATCGTTAAGGCAAACAAACAAGTCCAGCCTTTTAGAGCAGGGGGATTTACATCCGGGAAGGATCAGGTCAGTTTTCTCTGCCAGCCTCCTCACCACCCCACCCCACCCTAGGCGAAGAGCAATTTGCTGGGAAGGCCATGTCATTGCCTAATTGTTCTCCGTGCCCACAGTGGAGCGGGGCTGGCGTTGGCATGCAGCTGGGCTGCATTTTAACGGGCCTGCTGGCAGGCCACCCCTACCATTTTCGGGAGATGTTTTGGAAAAAACAACAACCCAGAGCTGTTTTGTGGACGGCAATAAACCTAGTTGGGCTGTTTGTGTTCTTCATAAATACACGCTAATTACCCGTCTGAGCAGAGACAAGGCAGGGCTATTTTTCACGTTCCCCCTCACCTCTGCCCCCCTCAATCTCCCCATCTTCTTTTACGACCCAGCATGCC